TTCTGCTATTTTTAGAAAAGACCTTGAAATACAGCAGCTTGTGAGCCAGCCAGGAGCCCTCAGCACATTTAACAAGGCTCAACACCCTTGCTAACCTTCTCCTTTGTCAGTGGACTCGGAGATTAATGCAGTGATTAGGTAGCTTTCTTAAATGAGGTATTGTTTCATTTCAGCAATAGGAAAACTACAGTGCATAAAACAATAAAGATTTTAAACCAATTAAGCAGCCTAAAAGCATATCTATTTCCCTTAGGGCTCAAGGTGTCTTGAAAAGCTAGGAAAACCCAACGGTTTCAAATCCTCTCTCCCTCCACACACCCCCCAGCCAACAACCGTACTCGACCTTCTCCTTTCTAACTATTCTGTCATCTTTAGCTCTTAATTCCGGTAGAGCAGCTGTGTAAATATAGGTGGAACTAAGAAACCATAATCTTCACAGCTCAGGGATTATCATCTCTTACTTTGCTGAGCTGTTTGCAAGCAGGTTTTCAGTCTGGAAGCACTGTCTGGCCTCCCTGCCTACTTTTTCTCCTTAGATTTGGGGTTTGCCTTTGAATAAAATCAATATGTGAGCAGCTGGTGGCAGAGCCGTTGGCCAGGCGCAGCGGCGAGCCAGCAGACCGCTGGCAGCATCGCCCAGCCAGCGCACGGGCACCGCGGGTCCCTCACAGCCAGCACCACTACAGCGGGATGCTGGGACAGAGGAAACTTAAGTCCTCCATTCGCTGCTTGGGATTTTTTTCAGCTACATCTTTGAAACTGCATTTTTGTTTCTTTACAGCTGGTTTAAGACGACTGACTAATGCTTTAAAGAAGGGCAAGGTATGAGCTATGGATCAGCCCTTTAATTTGTTCTCAGCTAGCAGGATGGCTGTGGGAGCCCACACGACAACCCCAGGCATCACCCTGCTGCGAAGTCAGGCTGTGTATTTCCCTCCAGTTTAAAAGCACATGCAAGAGTTTATCCACACAGCTCTGCAGTCTTGTACTGCTCCTAAAAATAATCACAGCCTGCAGAGCAGCGTGAGAGGGGCAGGCCTTCACATACCTATGTCAGTCAGGATTTAAAAAAATAAATAATAAAATGCTTTCCTCATCCCCCCGACTAAACAAACATGAGAGGATGCCTGTTCGCAGCTCCCTACACATCCTTTCCAGCAGCAACAGGAGTTGTTTTGGCTCAGGGACACATATGGGCTGTCAGAGCTGGGATATAAGCTGTGACCCTCTCAAAAGATGAGTCACCCACCAGCAAAGTGAAAACACCGATCCAAGAAGGACCAACTCATGCCTCGATTTGTCTCTCAGAAGTGAAAGGAAGAGAGCATTGCGAGCACACACATTTGCTAGCCTTCATGCATTGCAATCTGCAGAGCTGAATCAAGATTGCATGTTAGGGACAGTGCCCTATACACAGTGTATGCAAATTGCCTACGTTTTACACAGTATGCCTTACCAAGTCCCTCTTTGTAGCATCAAGGCAGTATCTAAATCCTCCTCCGATGCCAAGAATGACAGTCACCTCCCAACAAAACACTAATTAACACCCTGCTATTTATAAACAAATGATTCAAGATGCAGATAATCCACTTCAAGAAGGCAGAGCTGCCTTCAGGCAGACCTGCTGGGGTCCAGAAGGGGTTGGCTAGCCCCCGCTCCACTAGACTGCTTTCAGCTCCTGGCTGCTCTGTGACCACTGCGTCCTGGGCACCAAACTCCTGCCAGCCCCAACTGCTGTGTCAGGCGGTACACAAGCACCTCTCCAGGTCGGGTTGGGAACCCCAGACTGGCTGTGGGTGCTGCTTTCCACACAAAGGATCAATCATGTCGCAATAAAACATGAAAATTTGAAAAGAGAAAGGTTTCACCTATCACCTGGCTGAAAACCATTTTTTTTTAAATGTAAATGCAACACAACTTAAAAGTGATGTCAAGAACCTGAAGGAGTCTCACCGTCCTACACTACTTTTTCTAGCTGAAACGGTCATAAGCTAATACACAGCTATGCAGCTAGAAAACGGAGACCAGATCCTGAATGCTGGTTAACTTTAAATGCTTGCATATGCATGAACAGCTGAGGCAACGTCATACCAACTTTCGTAAGCTAAGACAACAGTGATAAGGTTACAAGACCTTGTGGCTTGTTCATTTGTAATTGTGCTGCAATGATTTAAGTGCAATTCCATACGTCCTTAAAGTAGAAGCAGTTTACGTATTTAACTTATCTAGTGCCTTGAAGAACAGTGTCATTTGTAGCTCATTTTAGCAAAAATTATCTTAAAATTTAAGTTGTGTAACTCCAGCGTTGTAACAAAATTACACCTGCTTATGCAGCTCCTCTAAAGATTTTCTTACACACACCAGTATTTAATCCAGAACTGTCAATTCTGGCAACTACATGGAAGAGAGCGATCCCAGGCTGACAGAACTATGCCAGCAAAAACTCAGTCGGCTAAAATACCAAATGCTCTACTGCAATCACCATTTTGTTCACAGTTGAAGACTTTGTCATAGTAACACAAAACACAGTTTCAGAGGTACAGCTACATTTGTATATTTTACTCAGAACAGTTACTGTAATACTCCAGTAAAACAGTTCCAGTACAGACAAAGGTATAGCTTGAACACAGAACTCATCCCCCAGTCAAAAGTCTTCTATTTCCAAGTCAGTATTAAATATCACATGGTAACAACCATGACATTTTAGAAACACTACTCTCCACCTTCTCTCACTTCTTCCTCCAGAGTGCCAGAGTACCGATCAGTCATGTCTTTGTAATTAAAATCATTCACTGAAGTTTTTATACATGGAAGAGTTTAGGAAGATTGTCACCAGATACACACTAGTGCGTTTAATATGCAGAACAAAATACGGTTGACTTTTTGAAGCAGGATGCCTTTTCAACTATTCCCAATAGAAGCCTAATGAATACTCAAAATGAAACAGTTGTTATTTGGTATTGTACAGTTTGTATACTGGGTACAAAGAGCCAGCCTGTCATCTCACCATCCTCAGCCTAGTAGTACTATGCACCTGATCAGAAGGAAAACGTTAGCCAGATTATACCAATTACACCCCAAATTCATAGGACTCAGCATCACTAATACAGCTTTTTCTTAAGATTGACTGTTAGTAACCTACATTCTGATGTGCCATCAGTTACATAAACAGAAATGAAAATACCAGGTTTTTGAGAGATAGATTTAGATATTCTTGTTCAAATTTAGCAATTCTGATTTACAGGCTAAATAAAGTTTGTTTGTCTGTGTTCGGGTCCTGAAACTAATTAGGAGCTTCCATCTCTCTTGCCACATTCTACTCATTGCCATAAAATCCAAGGAAGAAATTCACCCAAGGCTTAAGTACACGTGAATCCCTCAGCCAGCTTTAGATTTATGAGCCTGAAGATACTAAATTAAGTACCACCTGTGAATACATGTGATAAATGCCCAACATCACCTATTAAACATTGCATGTAACACAAAATAGGTTCAGCTGTATAGAAAATTTTTCAAACTATGTAAGCTCCATCACTTCAGAAAGGAGTCACTGCAGTTAGTATTTCTTCTGTGAATATACAGACATGCCATTGATTTCAAGTTTTTAATGAGATACCTGCAATTTATAACACCATGACATTTGAGCCTCACCACATTTATAAGACTTTGGTTTCCAACAGAAATAGTTCTACTGTTATTAGAACCAATACATGCACGGAGGTTGATGAGAACATACCACTGCAGTACAAGAAGTCAGACACCTTCTCTCTGCAGGCTTGTTTTGAATTGTTTATTGAGGTTTAAGAAGTCATCCACATTTCTATAAATATAGACATTACTTGAGTAAGTGACTTACAATGTCACCAGTGCAGGTACATATATAACCAACATACAAAAGCTCCACTGGAAGCTACTTCAGTTTATTCAAAAAGGACCAAGATGTCATAAAAAAACAGCTGTCACTTTCAGTTATTGAAGACACTAAAGTGCATTTTTGGTTACCTCCTGGACAAACAGCTGCTGGTTAAAAAGTTAGATTTTTTTTTTTTTAAACATATCTAAATTACATTGATTGACATTCAGGTTTGTAGCTGTCATCCTCCTGATACATGGCAGCAGGTAAGAAGAATGTTACTACTTTGCTGGTTGAGTAACAGGAGGAGATAGATTTTGCCTTTTTTTTTTTTTTTTTAGTTTTTTTTTTTTTTTAAATCTGGTATTTCCAACAAAAGTTTGAAAAGAATCTAACATTCTGATGAATTTTTACAGCACCACTAAAGTTAGTCTTAAAAATCCAAGGCTCTGTTTTAGCCCTTTTCATTGCTAGCCAAGTATCTAAAGAGTTACTTGAAGCTCTGTACCAGTAAGAAAAACTACTCTCCCTTTTCCGTCAAGCACTATCCTGCCCAGTTAACACTGTTTGCACGCTCTGTAAACAAGAACAGCTTAAAGCATAATTAAAGCAGAACACAGGCCCATCTTGAAAATCTTCTTCCCCCACTCCCCCCCGCCCCACCCTCCAGTAGTGTCAAATGTTTGAGTGTACAAAGCATTATTACATTCCTAACCACAAAATACTTTAAGAGTCACAATTAAAAAAAGCATACGTTGAAAGTGACATAGCAATACCTCTTTAATAAAATGGGGTATTTTGGGGAGATACAAGATGTGCTCTGCTAATTTTAACTCCATCTTTAGTTCATCATAATTTTGTTTTATTGCCAGAAAACTCACCAGTAGAGCAAAGAATGCTACACTGGTTAGAACCACAACAGCCAGAGTTGTTCTTTATAGCTCCTTTACTGCAATTAATTTACTTTTAACTTGATAGTAGGAGGACATAATACTTGTCATTCATAAATAAATTACTAATTTTGAGTGACACTTTAAACCTGACTAGCACTGTATGAATGGCTACTTCTGATGAATGGCTACACTGATGAATGGCTACTTCTAAAAAATAAAAACCTTACATACCAAAACCATGCTTTATGTTGGGAAACCACTTTTTCATGCTCCAGCAAGTTGTTTACATTTTCACTTGTCAAAAAGTCTTTCTTTTATCTGTTGCAGAAGCCACAGCACTTAAATTTCAAGTATTTGAACTAAACATGATTCAATTTCAAAAAGTGCCAAATTAAAAAAAAAAACTACACATGTAGCCAAGCTTTCATAGAAATCCCCAAACAAGGTAAAAAACAGCCTCTTGAAATAATGGGTTACTAGCTTCATACATGTTTTTAAAGCTGTATAATGTTCACCTAAACACTCCACTTACGAGCATTAGAAGTTTAAAAACACGGAACACCTTCAATGTAAATTGCTTGCAGAGGGCACCCTCAAAAATATTAATACAATACTAAACAGAAAACCCTCATTTTATTTGGCTATTTAGACATCCATGTCACATATACCCACCCATCCATTTCCTGATAGTATTACATCATCTATTAGGGCTTCTGAAATAATGCAGAGCCATAAAACTCAGAAGAGACTAGTAAAAAAAAAAAAAAAAAGTTCCATAACTGCACAGCCTTCCACACGGCAAGGTTGTGCAACTGATTGTTTAACGTAACTAAGCTTAACGGCATCCAAACAAGCAGGCCTGGGTTTGGAAGCTGTCTTATGTCAAATTTTGACCACATAACTACTCTAAAACAGAAAGGTCAAAATAGAACTCATCTCTTCTTTTTCTGCTGCCTCAACATTTTCCTTCGCTTAATTATCATATCATGTAGTTTCTCCAGTCCCTCTTTGAGTCCATCTCCAATGATTGCACAGGTAGGCTGCAAATGCCAGGGAGTCAAAGAACTGAGCTCACTCATTGCTAACATCTTCTCAATTTCAGAAAGGGAGAGAGAGTTCCTCAAGTCCTGTTTGTTAGCAATGATAAGGACAGGCACTCCTTGATTTTCAGATATCCTAGTAATCTTATGAAGTTCTGTTTTGGCCTCCTCCATTCTCTCAACATCGACAGAGTCCACCACAAACACAATGCCATCGGTGCACCTTGTGTACGACTTCCACAGCGGCCTCAGCTTCTCCTGGCCTCCTACATCCCAGAAGTGGAAAGTGACCGTTTTTGAGTTCCCCAGCGTCACTTTGATTTTCTCCGTATTAAATCCTTTAGTGGGGACAGTGTTGACGAACTCATTGAACTGCAGTCTGTAGAGCACGGTCGTCTTTCCAGCGGAGTCCAGTCCCAAGATGACAATGTGGAAACTCTGGAAGGCAGGCAGGCTGGAGAGGATCGGCGTCTGGTCCGAGAGTCCATTCCCCATTGCCAGAAGGGAAGGTGACAGCAGGCTACCACGAGCAGA